GGAGAAAAATTTCAACGTGGGATAGGTTAATATATTTTTTTGTACATAATTGGTTATCCGAAAAATAAGTTATCCGAACAACCCTAGTGCCCAATTGATTCGGATAAACAACGCTCTACTGTATATTTATTTTGTTTGTACAAAATAAAGAAATAATTTTTAACAATACAATATGGTTGTGCCAGTGCTGCCAACTAAAATACGCACACCAACAAAAATAATATTGGAGTAGCCCAAGACATAGCCAAATATTGCAGTGCCACAGCACCAGCAAAAATTTGAATTTGCCAACTGGATTGCTTTCGGTTAACCAATGTTTTGGTTGATCAGTATTTGGATAATTGATGCTCTACTATATTTCAAAATAATTTCTTTCCACTCAAAAATAAAATATGTATAAAGGTTTACAGCTTTGTGAAACTTCTTTTTTGAGGTTTATGCCATTGAAATAAAAAAAAAAAAATTTGTTTACTTTGTTTACATGTTTATTGGGCCACAGGTTGGATACCCCTAATCTAAATTGTCATAATTTTTTTACATGGAGCAATTTTTTTACATCTCAGATGTGTTTGTTTGGATATCAATTGTTTTTTGGTTAATGATTGTATTTTTACAAAGTACATCAAGATGTAAGACAATGACTTACTGTACAGTTTGGTCAGCACTCTTAATGTGACAGCTGCTGACTGAATATGTTCAATAGACCATTAGTAAAATTATTATAAAATGTTTTAGTTTGCATAAATTTGAACTTTTGTTATTCTCAATAACATTTGTTTTGATGCAATTTACCTTACGGGCATAAAATTAAGTGATAAAAGTAAAATAGCTCTATGGGGAATCCCTGTATCCTTGACCTATCAGCCTGGAGGTTGTGCAAGACCTCGCTGATAATGAGAAAAGCTTAAGATTAAAATCTGAGCTTTTTAGATTCAATAGTTTTTTCTCTAGAAGCATCTGCAATACCAAATGAAGAAAATAAGGAGAAAATACAGTTTTTTAAGTGATTTTTGCACTATTCAACTGCTTATAAAAAAAATCCTTGTTACTTTGAATTTAGACAGTAGAAACAGTAAAAAAAATTAGTAAATTTAAAAAATATATTCAAGCATCTCCAGATTTCACTAAATATCACAAGACAACATCTAATACCATATTACATAAAAGTTAAATGTCATCAAATCAAACTTCAAGACAATATTCATAATACAGTCGACCCCCCTATAACACGGTAGATACGTTCCACTTTATAAGAATTTCACGTTGTAGGAATCCTTAAATACACGAGCCAATCACAGCCCGGCACGTGTGCAGTTTACGGACTACGACTATTTGAAAGGTTTTCTTCCATAAAATTAATCGATTCTGGACTAATTTGACTCCACATTTCCAAAACACGTATAATTTTTTGGGAATAATCCATATAAACTATGCTATAAACAAAAAATTGTAGGATTACTTACCGAGTGTGCACCGTTTGATGACGCCATTGCTTAAGCTTGTTTTCGTCGTGGAGAAGCGCACCAAACGGTGGGCACGTTTTCTAATAAGTTATTTTTCTGCAAAAACTTCATTGAACTTTGGAGACATCATTAATACAAATAGTTTTCATGACCGTTGAATAAGAAATGTTTTTTTCACAAGAAATGTATAAAATTACAGTACTGTATTAGACTTACAGTACCTAATTTATATACTGTACAGACGATAGTAAACTCAACTTACCCGCCTAAACTCTCCATAGCGTGTAAGTAGTTCGGCTGCTCGTCCACTATTGGTCCAGATTTGACCAATCCTGTCGCGACACGAGTCAGCAATGACGTTTTACCACATTTTACAAGTCTCTGTTAACGTCTTTATACGAATACTGTCACAATTTTTTCACCACGATATACGAATCCGCATTATATGAACCCGCATTATAGGGGGGTCTACTGTATATGAATGTAAAAATTAACATATTGTTTGAAAGAAAATACCTTGGTTAATAAAAATAATTTTTTTATCATATTTAGCATTTCAGAACTCTAATTTGACTCCATCTTCAAAACAAATACAACAAACTATCCATCCAAACAGTATCAAAAGACAGTTAAACATACCAAACTAGCAGAGTCAAAGTTTGAAAAATAAACTTTTTTTATACAATATAAACAATTATATACGTTTTCTCACATAACTGGTATTATAGAGCATAGAGGACAGCCCCATAGAAACAGCATCAAACTTATTTGACAAATATATCATAGAATTAATACAGGCAAAAAAACCAACTGGAGATGGTTGATCTGCAGGTTCACCTTGTTCAGCTTATAAAAAAAGAATTAGTAATCATAGTTGATAAGTTAAAAAAACAACAAATAAAACTATATCAACTATAACCAATCTAATTAATCTTTACTCTTCAATGAAAATATCAAATATCAGGATTCACACGAAAATATTTAATTCATTAATTAATCAACACATCAGTTTATTATGAAGCCTGAAATGGCATTGGATTATATAATGGACCAGAAAAGGATTCAAATAATTTTTTTATAAAGACTATTTTACATTGAAAGGAAGATACCAGGTTACACAATACACAACATAAATTAACAGATTTTGATTCTTTCTATTCTACTTAAAAAGGTTGATAAGATTCTATTTAAAAATAAGTAACAATAAAGACAAAAATAATTTCAAAACATCTAGAACAAATAAATAAACCATATTTAAATAATAACAAAAAAATCAAATACTTGTCTAAATAAATTCCATCTAATCAATTCTTTTGGCGTAACACATTTACTCTTAGAGGACTTAAAGGAAGATCAAATCAAAAACATGGCTACACATCAATAATATCAGCCTTTTCTCATTCAATACTAAAAGATGAAAAAGTCCTGAACAAGTCTAGATTCCATTCATGATGCCACAAAATTCCATCTGTACTACCTACTACCTACTATACATGAACATATATACAGTAAAACCCTGCTTAACGCTGATTTGATATAACACCGTCTGCTTGAAACCCAAAAAAAGCTCAGAATTTATGCTGATTTAAGTTATTGCGGCATTTTATTGATTCGTACATAATACGACTATGTAGATGAACAGGATATTGAGGAGTTACCGCAGGTATATGGTGAGAGTCTTATCAACGACAACTTTTGAGAACTGGCAAAACAAGGAATCCATATAGAACTGGAAATTAGAGATTCTGAAAACGAAGAACCCAAAAAATTTCTCTACAGATTTCCTTAGTAAAAGTTTGGTAAGATAACTGAAATTGTTGATCAAATTGAGTGAATGATCTAGATTTTGAAAGGAGTATAAAAGCAAAACAAGACATTTTGGATGCGATCTTTCGCTACCAACATTTGCTTAAGGAAAGAAAAAAGCAACAAATGAAACTTCATGACTTTAGTGCAAAAAAACAAGAATTTCAGAAAAGTCAGGACCTTCATTACAAAAAATGAACTATTAATATAGACAAAATGAACTAATTAATATACAGTATTATTATACATTTCTGTGTGCATATGTTTATGTGTTATTTAACGTATATTATTATACAAATTAATATAAACATAACTTAAAATTAAAGTAAAATGTTTAACTTTTTGGTCGCGTGTTCCCCTATACCTATTTACTATATATTAAAATGACCTTGTTCAACGCTGTTTTGTTTAGTGCTTTGTTGTCTAGGAATGCATCCCTCACATTAAGTGGGGTCTTACTGTATTAGGTTAGGTTGCCATAGAGACTGATAATCCAGATTCATCTGAATAAATTTATTGTTTATATAAACAACACATATATTAAAATACCAAGAGAAGTTCCTACTGATGAAAATGCAAGGACTATTGAATGTGTCATATTTTTAAGGAATGTCAAGCATTAATATTTATTCATATCTTAAATGGTCTTCGAAATATCCTTAAATTAACTTCAGAAAGTAATTTCTGGAACATCTATCAAATTTGAATAAATTACAAATGAATAAGATTTATAATTTCTTTATATGTATAGCTAAGTTAGTCAAATGTTAAATTATGTTTTATAAGATTAAACTCATATCATATATTTATATGATCATAATTATTTTGTTAAACTATTAATTTTTTGTATTACCCCATAAACCTCCTTTGTAACAGTCTATTACTAAACACTTAACCTAAAAAAAAATTGATAATAAATAAAATATACTTAATATTTTCAAATTAGATTACTTCTATAATTACTTAAATTAAATGACTTCTATTAATACTTACATAATTTCTCTATTAATAATAGTAAATTATAAATTTCTTTCCCTCAAAAAGTATTAGTCATCTATACATTCTGTGTTTTAATTATTATTAGTATGATTTAAATTTATTATCAAATTTAATCTCATTTTTTCTCAGATATAACAATGATACATTTATCACTAAAATACAATTTTTATTAAAAACAATATTTCCTATTAGAAATAAGTATATCATCATTTACATGATAAATTTCACTATAAAAAAGTTCAAACAAATTAAAAAGTATATTTTAATTATATAAACAAGCAGGATGTTCCAACTGTAGCAAGTCTTACATCAACAACAAATTAATAATAATAGTAATTTTTGTTATTTTAGAAATTTAGTATTATTCTGATATCATTGTAATGTTTGTAAATATGCTATCTAAAATATTATAGAAAATTTTCACCTAAAAGAGTTTTAATCAAATGACAATATGAATGCATAAAGTGATCTTATAAATATTATATATATTTTAACAACAATGAGCAATCCTAACATAAGGTCAAAATGTTAAATTTGATTTTGTTCCTACTATTATAATAAACAACTAACAAAATATTTTCATTTTAAATTTTAATTTTTTTAAAAGATTTTCATCATAAAATTTAATGTTTTTAATTATAATTTTTCATGTTCTTAGTTTCTGTTTAAAGTTTAAAAATCTATCATTAAAAATATTAAAATTTGCAATTTAAAATATAATTAAATTTTTACCTTATTTTTTGTTTATTTATTTATATCCACAGAAACTGCAAAAGATGATTATCTTTTTGAACCATCTCACTATTAGTCTACTGTGTTTCATAGAATTCATTTGTTTCTGACTCAAACTTCCACTTTCATTCTAGTCTATTTAAATTAGAACGCAGAATTAATAAATTTGATTATATTTCAATTTAAATTTTATATATATATATAT